TAACGTAAGGTTAGATCTACCTCTATCAAGATTGTAAAATCATTTAATAATATCTGAAGTTAAGAAAGTCTGGATCAATTTTTGCTTCGGCAGATCTTATTCTTTGATGATGGATCTAGATTTAGATATAATATCTCAACCACTTGACCGCGAAGCGGACGAATTCGGCTGCTCAATACCTTAGTTATCGAGTAAAGTAAGGTAGATCTGGATCTACCTCTATCAGGATCGTAAGATCATTAAAAAAGAAAAAAAATCTGATATCTTAATTTTAAGTAAAGTAAGTCAAAAGTATTTAGACCATATTTTGTCTCTGTAGACATTATTCTTAGATGATAGATCTAGGCTAGATCTAATACATGTATCTCAACCACTTGACCGTGAGGCGGACGAATTCGGCCGCTCAATACCTTTGTTAGTTGTCGAAGCCCGTAAAACCTGTCCTTTAATTTTTTATGTCTTTTACCTCGTGCTTCTGCCAACATTGCTCTGTTACTGGTTTAGATTGTTTTCTTATTCCTGTTCGTAGAATGGGTTCGTCTTCTAGTAATAATAATAATAATAATAATAATAATAATAATAATAATAATAATAATAATAGTAATAATAATAATAATAGATAGATAGATAGATAGATAGCATTTGTATTGCGAAAAACCTCGCTCAACAGCAAGCTCTATCCGCTTCATATACTACACTATCCTAAACCATAGACATGCCATAGACGTCTTCTACATCTACATCAGAATCTCACAGATTTGTACATCAGAATCTCATAGATTTGTACGCTTAGATCACTCACTGTCAAGGCCACCGTCTTTGAGCTCTGTAAAGCGAATAATAGGAAAAGGAAAAAGATTTTTTTTTTTTTAAATGAAGAAAAAACCAAAAAAACTTAACTACAAATTGTGTGCACGGCGGACCGTGTCTTTGAGCTTACATAAACAGCGAACAACAGTCTCGTTATAGTCGAGTGCGTGCGGCAAACCCCGCACCCCTTGCCTTTCATTTGTTTCCAATAGTGAGCACCATAGTCAACCGAAACTACGCTAGAGTTCAGAGTTTAGGGTATAGTAGATGTCTATGGCATGTCTATGGTTCAGGATATAGTAGATGTCTATGGCATGTTTGTCGTTTACGTTAGTAGATGTCTTGGGAAGTGTCTATGGTTTAGGCTAGGGTATAGTAGATGTCTATGGTTTACGATATAGTAGATGTCCATGGAATCTATACATAGTATATTTGTGATAGTGCGTCACTTTCGATGCCGAAAACTTCCGAACCACTGAACTTTCGTTTTTGACAAAATTAGTGGTGTTTCAGGATCATTTAATTGGTGCACAGTTTCATTGAGGAGCCTGAAGTCACTGTAGTTTAATTTTCAGTTTTTCATTGGTTTCATTTAGATCTAATCTTGGGAAAGCCATCTTTTACAATGCCATTGTAAACAAGTGAGGTTTCCGTCCACTAGCCGTGCGAAGTGTTCCACACCTTTGAAATTAAGGAGTGTACAGCCAGGAAAGCGGAATAGAGAGAGAATCAATCTATACATCTATACGTTATATTTGTGAAAGTTCGTCACTTTCGCCGCCTAAAACTTCCCAACCACTTAACTTTCGAATTTGACAAAATTAATGGTGGTTCAGATTGAGTTCTATTGAGGAGCCTGAAGTCACTGTAGTTTAATTTTCAGATTTTCATTAGTTTCGTTTAGATCTAATCTTGGGAAATTCCATCTTCTAAGACGTCATTGTAAATAAGTGAGGTTTCCATTCACTGGCCGTGCACACTTATTCCACACCTTTGAAATTATGTAGTGTACAACCACGAAAGCGGAATAGAGAATCAATCTGTAGGTCTACCTCTATTTAAATATATTTGGCAACCTGGAAACGTGTGTGTCACTTTTCTCTCAAGATTTATTTGCTCCTTTCCAGTAGAGTGTGAATATAGTAGGCCAATGACTTTCAGTTGATGTTAAAACACCGATCATTCTTTACATCGAAAGGGGGCCCAACTAGTTGTCTATGGTTTAGGGTATAGTAGATGTCTATGGGAGATGTCACACCGAAATTAAAAGTCTCATTTGCAAAGCAAAAGCAACCTTCCACAAAATGAAACAGATACTCACAAACATCAATCTGTCACGGGAAACGAGAAAAAGAGTACTGAAAAGTTACATCGAGCCAATCCTATTATATGGGTACGAAGCATGGACAATCAATAAACAGCTGGAAAGAACAATTGTGGCGACAGAGTTGTGGTTCATAAGACGCATGCTACGTATCCCATGGACAGCTAGAAAAACAAA